AGGGGAGGCCTTTTTCTCCCCCCCGCCCCTGAGGACAGGCCCTTCTCCCCGCAGCGCCAGCCCTTCAAGCACCCGTCCCCTGCGTGGCATCGCTGGAGGTGCGGGCAGGGGTTTTCCAAGCGAAGCTTCCGTCCCGGCCTTTCATCGCTAAGGGAGGTGGCGAATCCCCCCGGGAATGGGGAAGGCCAGAAAAGTCGGCAAAAGGTCTCCCTGGGGGGGGGGGGGCGGGGGGGGCCGGTTTTTCCCTTCGCCCCCCCCCCCAAACCCCCCTAGACACTGGCACTCTGAGCTTGCCAGCCACCTTCCCTTCCCCCCCCCCCCCCCCAAAGCCAGCTGTGAGGTGTTGCTGGTAAGGCTGGCTGTGTTTTTATGAAAACACCCACGATTTTCCAGGTGGCCGGGGCTGGGGAGGCTCTGGAAGCGGGCGATGGGAGGACAGGAGGCTGGTTGTGAGCAGGAGCCAGCCATCCCGCTCCCCAGGAGGGGAAAACTCCCTTCCCTAACTATTACATCAACCAGTCTTTATAGTATGAAAGTGTATTAACTTTGTTAATACTTACATTAGTTCGGATTATACACTGCGATGTAATGAGGTAGTGGAATTTTACTGGAGACTTTGGTATTGTTCGTGCTTAAGTAAAACAAACTAAAGGACAGCCCGGCCCTGGAAATGAGGACTTCACTGCGTGGAAGCTTAGAGTTGTCCATGAAGGATGAAGGATGCCCCTGGGCAACCAAGGTAATGCCGGCATCCCAGCCCCTCTGGCACGGCTTTGAAACCCTCCCAGCGTCGTCTGGCGTCATAGATCAGTAACTCCAGCGAGACTGACTCCAGGGACATCTGGATCAATAGACAAGCAGCAAGAATGCTGGAAAAATATTGTTGCGTTGCAAAGTTTTACTGTGATTAGTAATCAGTAACGTGGGCGTTAGTGATTAGTCAATCATGTTGTACCTGAAGGTTTGAAGGGCATAAGAAACCTGTGCAAAAACCACATTTGGGGGCACCCAGTTTGGCTGGGACACCTCATGTGCAGCAATAAATATTTACCCTTGTAGTTCTCTCCTTTGCATCCCAGCCTCTCTCCTCGGTCGGCACGGGCCAGCTGCAGATTTTCATGACGCAGCAAGGCCAGCCCAGCCCGCGGCTCTGCTGCCCCCGGGGAGGCTTTTCCCCCTCCTCCGGCCAAGCAGCCGTGCCGAGCCCCGGGGGCTGGGGCG